GTCCACCTGGAGATAAGATTGCATGTCTACTTTGGTCAAGGTGCTGGAGGAAATCTGATGTGAATTGAGGAGCTACAAGGACATGCTTTCCTTTTTTGATATTCACATAGCAGCAATTACTACATTCAGCAAAGCAAACTGTCACTTGGGAAACACAGTTGTTGAACTAAGGTATATTTTATGATTGAGGTTTTAGTAACAGTATGCCTTGTTCTGTGACTAGGAATCATTGGTCATAACTGGGGCTAATAATGTAAAAGCCATCTCAGGAAGAAGCTGTCTACTACATCCCCCACCAAACCTCTGAACTGTTAAGAAACAAGGTATAGATCCTTCTGTTAATACAGACACATTGTGATCAAGAAACTTACCACACGGCCCCAGCGGTTCCAACAGCTGTAGTTCCCATTTTGCTCTATTAGCTGGATGATGTAGAACTTGTTATTGTTATTGCCAATGTTGGTTTGGTTCAGCATACAGTCATAGTCTTGGTAAATCTAAAGTCATAAAAGAGGAAGCAATGGCACACAGGGAATATGAATATGCCTCTTCCAAAACATCCACAATGCTCTGCACTTCTGCCAAATTGCAGTTTTGTTTTGATTTTGGGCCTTTACCTGTTCAGAAGGTGATCATCCTTATATTTCAAACTGTACCTGCATTTAAATAATGGGGAGGGAATAATGACACAGCATCAGGAGCACAAGGCAGGCAAAGCTCCTAATATGTTTTTGGGAACTGTGCCAAGAAGTATCCTGCATTTTATTTGTTCAGCGAGTAATGGAGCCCAGGACCTACGACAGACATGCATACAGGCTGGAATTTGCCTTACATCCCACTCTACTCCCAGAGAGGCAGCTTCAGCTAACAAGATTTGCATTTGGCTTGGTCTGGCAGAGAACATTCTGACAAATGGAATATGATGCAGTATGCTAGTCTATGACTGTCATAAAGATTTGATTTGAATAAGATGCAGCCCTCTGCCAAGAAAGACCTATTAGCTAATGAGATTCCACCATGGACAAAACAGATTTTTGGCCAAGCAATTTTTCCTCTTCCTAGATGGACTCTATGTGATTTGAATAATTAGACATGCAAAGAAAAGGCATATTCTGTACTCTACAAAGAAAGCCCACAGAAGCGGGGTCCGTGCAGATTCCTATTTTTCCTCCAAATGTATTGGGACCACAACTCCTAGCATTCCTAACCAACTTAGCCCACTTATGGGAACTATAATCCAAAACATCTGGAAGGCACTATGTTTCCTACCCCGGCTGCAAGGAAGGCTAGACACAGGTGATCATTTGGCCCAAACTCTTCACTCTCACCTCGGCACTGTCCGCATGACTCAGTTGACAGGCAGAATCAATTCTGGCCTTGGACTTCTCCTTGGGAGCTGCCTTCAGTGCTGCCATGGTAGAAAGGAAACTGTCTTCCTCTGGTTCAGGTTTCAGCTCTGGTTCCTCTTTAATCTTCTTGCCCTTGATGGCAGCCCGGGTTTGGGCAGGCGCTTTACGCTTTGGAGGCATGGTTCTTGAACCGATCTTAACTGTTACCTGAAAAAAAAAAACTGATATTCAGATTCACTTCCTCAGAGTTCTGTGAACATTGCCCCAACAAACAAATCAATTCCTTGCATCATCATTATTATCAGCTCAAATCAATCACTGTAGGATTAAGCCCTCTTCTTTGAAGGTTATGGACCATAATCTACTATTCTGCTCCTACCATGCTGGTCCAGTGAGGGCTGGTCAATAGATTTTTTTTCCCACTCCCCAATCTGGGGCTTAAAGAGAGTGACTGGCCCAAAGTCACCCCGTTAGCTTCCATGCCTAATCAAGGGAGGACTAGAAGCTGGGTCTCCCCACTCCTAGTCCAGCATTTCAACCACTATACCACACTCACTTTCAGTTCCATGTATGTAAAGCCATAAATCTTAAAAGAAGAAGGACTTAATTGTTTGATTAAATGGGGAAAGGAAGCCCTGCTGGCTAAAAAATTATGTTGGTAGCATAGTAAACACAAAATTCCAGGACAAAGACAGGTCTGAAAATTTGGTTTACAGGAAAGCAATCGCTCTGCTGGTTGGTTGATAGATTAAAAAAAGTAGTAGAAATGATGCCAAGCCCTTTGGCAACTACTTTGTCAACATCTCAATAAAACTTGGAAGAACCGCTGATTTTTCAGAGCCACTGCTTTTATAGCTCAAGTTGCTTTGAGATTGGTGCTAAGCAGCACCCAGCAGTCCGTAGAAGCCACCGCCATGTCAGTAGCAGCTCAGATACGCCTTCTGACTTGGCTTGCACAGCATTCTGATTCAAATTTCCTTTTATCTTTTTCTTCTTTTTTGCAATTATAACAATTGCACATACAGTTCTGTAACTTACTGAGAAACAGAAAATAATGAGAGTTTAAGCTGAAAGTGTAAATGTGATGTGCTTAAAAACCACATCAGGCTTCCTAGAGATAGGATGGTTGTAGGAAAGGGATTCTCCAAATAGGGGAGCCACCTGCTCATTTCAATGCTGTACAAAAAAATTAAAAAGGAGAGGGGGTGGCTGATAATATGATGAAATGGAAGAAAAGGAAGGATCCTAAAATGATTGAAGCAACATGTAGGTTTTGAAAAGGATGACAAAGCACACGGGTCTCAAGGAAGAAACCAAAATATAAACATTTCCGAGCTACAAGATGTTGAAATGACCAGACAAGAAAGGTCAGCCCTGAATGGCCCAATACTTTTCTATAGAGCAGTGTTTCTCAACTTTAACATCTTTAAGCTATGTGGACTTCAACTCCCGTGCTGGCTGGGGAATTCTGGGAGTTGAAGTACACACAGCTTAAAGCTGCTAAGGTTGAGAAACACTGCTATAGAGTGTGCCAGCAATGGAGTGGCACAAAAATAATTAATGTGTGTGCCTAAACACATGAAAGAATGCACACCACCTTTCATAAAAGTATATGGAATATATATTCTCCTGGCACATTCCATGCACAGAAAGCACCCAGGACTCTTGTGAAAGTAACCCGTTGGGGGAGATGGGCGGCATACAAGTTTGAAAATAAATAAATAAATAAATAAATAAATAAATAAATAAATAAGCAAGCAAGCAA